ACCCCAAATCTTACACCCGTGCTACCTTTATTACTCTGCTTTATTATTCTGCTTTATTATTCTGCTTTATTATTCTGTTATTTTACCTGTGTTAACTCGGAATCAAACTAAAGTCATCGTTTTCGTCATCTGAAATCTTTCTTTTATTGGACTCTTATTTAACTTTTGCTCCAATCCCTGTGGACGATATTCCRGTACTTGTACCACTTTATTACTTGGAAAGACGAYGTTGGRCCGTATTGTATACTTGCTTTGTGGCCCAATTTCATTAAGTCTAAGGGTAAAGGATTTGACCGACCAAGTTTTTGGCGCCGCTGCCGGGGATTGGCAAGCTTAAAGTTTTCTTTTGAGAAAAGTAAAAGTTTTGATGTTTCTTGTACCTGTTTTTGAAAAGTGGTGTATGCCAAGAACACATCGCGGGGAATTTTTCGAATTTGATCCAGACATTGAGAGAACGTTTCACCATAGAAGGAGGGCTCAGAGAGCATTTCAGGCTCTACTCCCTCCCAACATGGAGTTACCTGCTCCCAACATTCCGGAAGTACCACATTTGGAAAACCAACCGCCAATTTTTGGGCAAATACCACCGTTCCCAATTTTTCACCAAGGAAACCCACATCATGAAAATGATAATAATTTGGACACAGAATCTGACCCTAATAAGCAACAAAGGGCACAAACTCCAAATATCATTAATCTGGCAAATTCAAAAAATGGACGGATCATGGATTATGCTATCCCGGATTTTGAGCAATTAAATTCTGGGATAGTTAGACCACATATGASCGCTCTCCATTTCGAGCTAAAACCGATAATGTTTCATATGTTACAGACTAATGGCCAATTTGCTGGACTACCCTCAGAAGACCCACATTCTCATTTAAAGTCTTTTATGGAAATCACAGATGCCTTCCTGATCCCGGGAGTGTCCAACGACGCTCTCAGACTCACTTTATTTCCATTTTCATTACGGGATTAGGCAAAAGCATGGTTTAACTCTTTAACACCAGGATCTGTGTCGTCATGGGGTTACATGGCGAAAAAATTTTTGCGAAAATATTTCCCACCAACAAGGAACGCCAAATCCAGAAACGAGATCTGTCTTTTTAAACAACTGGATGATGAAGTTGTTCCTAACGCGTGGGAAAGGTTTAAAGAGCTGTTAAGGAAATGCCCACACCATGGCATTCCATACTGTATTCAACTTGAGACGTTTTACAATAGGTTAAGTCCCATGACAAAACAAATGCTCGACGCGACTGCATGCGGAGCCTTTACAGCCAGTACCTATAATGAGGGATATGAGATCCTAGAAAAGATATCAGCAAACAATGGGCATTGGGCTGACCCACGTGCCCAGCCACAGAAAAAGACTGCTGGAATACATGAAGTTGATGCATATACTGCATTAACAGCTCAGTTTACCTCCATGACCAATTTATTGAAAAATTTAACTTCTGGTCAGGGAGTACAGCAAGCTGCTACACATCTGTTCCAACAGTCCTCTCTGTGCAATGTGTGTGCTGTGGTGGGGAACACTCGTATGAACATTGTCCTCATAATTCTGAATCCATAAACTTTGTTCATAATGGATCTGGTCCCTATACCAACAATTATAATGCAAGTTGGAAACAACACCCGAATTTTTCTTGGACCAGTCCATGTTTAAATCCACCCGTACCTAAACAACAAGGAACTTCTAATTTCCAACCTCAACATCATGGAAACAATTCTAACTCTCACCAACAAAGTTTTCAGAATTCCTAACCACCTTTTCAAAACAAGCCACCTCCACAGGCTGATTTATCATCTTCTTTGGAAGCAATGATAAAAGGGTTATTTGCACAAGCTCAAGCTCAAAATCAAGCTTTGATAACCCAACAAAACTCTCAAAATCAATCTCTTTTTAATCAACAAAGTGCTGCTATCAGAAATCTGGAAACCCAAGTCAGTCAACTTGCACTCAATCAGACCAATAGAGTCCTTGGTACTTTGCCTAGTAACACAGAAGTCCCGAGAGCCTTAGGAAAATAACATGTGAAAGAAGTGACCTTGAGAAGTGGGAAGGAATTGACAGAGGCCATGCAAAAAGATCGTAAACCAATTTTGTCAAAAACTGATGCTACAGCATTGGTCTCTGCCAAAGAAAGACCGGTCCAACCTTTAGAGAAGCAAGCATCTGAGACCACCACTTCTGTCCCCCCTAGATCAGACTATCCCTTACTGTTTCCAGAAGATGTTTTAAAAAAATCAGAAGGGGCTGAGGTTTTAGAGACCCCTAAGCTTGATGCTAAGACTCCATCTGAACCTCCAAAGTGCACCATAAAGACTCAAGGCATTCAAGACCCATCTTGCTTAACACATCCAAGCAAGAATGTGATAAAACCAGTCCCTCCTTATGTTCCTTACCCCCAAAGGTT